CAACGACAACAACGACGACAACAACTGCAACGTATAATCATAACAAAAAGGCCGGCAAAACAAAGGCGGCAATTGGTAGACATCGAATGGAATCGCGTCGGTTCGCTGATTTAACGCTGATTAATTGGAGCAAAATTATTATTATAGCTTGTTATTGTGGCGCTATTAATGCGCTACTTCTTTGTTCTCTGCCGTTCCTCGGGGCCTTGACAAACAAGGAGCAGCTCTGTGCTGGCTGGGCCCAGCCTCTGTAATCAGATTGGATTGGAGCACAAAGAGCGCTAGGGCTGCAGCTGCGATAGAAAGGTGTGCTTTCACCTTGGCGGACCTTCTAATTGATTTTCAAGAGCCTTGTTCATTTATAACCGCGATGTGCTAGCATTTAACCAACTTGCAATATCGCAACCAAAAACAAATCCTTAAATTGCATAACATATCGCTCTGCGACGGCCACCATTTATCAAATTCAAATAAAGGTGGGCAAGGACCAAAGAGGGTCCATCTATCGGCACTTCACAAAAACAAAAAACGAAAAACAAAAACATAAAAAATAAAAAGCAGAAAGCCAATCGAATAGGCGAGTGGGATCAACTCATGGCAGATACTCTGGGAGTAGAGCTTCAATTTTATTTATTTATTATTAAAAATCTTTATTGATTGCTTAATAAATCATAGAATATATAATTTGTATAAAAACATATATTAAATTTATATATATATTTTCTTCTTTAGTATTAAATAATTATTTTTATTAATATAATTAAATGGTACATATGTATATATATTTTTTAGATTAATATTAAATATGTTTAAAAATGTATAGGTTTTAAATATTTTATTTAATATTCAATATTAATTTTTAAGCGTATATTATTATTTATAATTGGTCGATTAATGAAATATTTATAAAAGCAGTATAAAAATGTATACTACATACATATTACAGATATATGTAATTAATATGTATATTTCTTTATGTATGTGTTAATAACTTTATTTAATATTAAATTGATTTTTTTATTTTTAAACGTATATTATTATATATCATTGGTATATGAAATATTGTTTTTTAAGTCTATATAAATATTTGTTCTATTGTCCAACTAGAGCTCATATAATTTCACTTAAATATGGGTGTAGAAATATTAGCAAGTAACTGAGTTTTACTTTAAATAATATTGTGCAACTCCTCTACCGTCTGGCCGCAACAGAAGTGTGAGAATAAATTCCCAAACTATCGACTCAGGTTTTCATACAAATTCGGGCAACTGTCTGTTGCATTGCCACAGCTGCAGTTCAGCCGTATTTGTAAATGACTTTCAATGGCTACAGGGTATTTAGCAAGCGCCTGAGCGACTGGAAACTGGCAACGCGAAGCGCGAAACGCGAAACGAGAGCCAGCAAAGTGAATTCCCGTGGAGCGTTTAATCAAACTTTACCGGCGAACGCGTTGCTGACAATGAGAAATTGCAACAAATTCGCGCGCATCGAAACATTCGCTGTGCACACAAAGCAAGTGGACCTGGCCGGAGGGACGCCGGGCGGGGCGGACTGCAGAGGGCGGCAGCGGGAGTTGTTAGTTTGGTTTTGATGCAAAATATAAAAAAAGAGAGAGAGAAACAAAGCGTTTTTCGGAGGCGCACACAAAAGAAAGGCAACAAACGGCGATCACGTATTCGCATCGAGCTCAACAGATTCGAGCTGCAGGTCCAGGTCGAGCTCCAGGTTGGACCTGAACGTGGCTCCCGCTGTTAGCTGCTACTCGATTTCCATACGACTGCATATTGTGTTTTCTTTTATTTGTTTGGCTTTTTTGCGGCAGTTGTTTGCCGCGGATATGAAAAATGATGCCGCTTCAATTTTAACAACCAAAAGCGCTCAGGGTGCCCCTGCGCTCCCCCCTCAGCCCGTTTTGGGCCGAAGTGAAGTGCAGTTCTAGTCCTCGCACTGGCACTCGAGTTTGATTGATGGCCCGGCGATGGGAAAATGCGGCTCGCCCACATTTGTGGGCGTTGTGCGGACTGCCACTGGAAATGGGAATGATCATCGGAGTCGTGCAGCGGCTGGCATGAAATCAATCTGGCTAAACGGTAGCAAATGGGCGTGTAGGCTTAGCTGTGGGCGGCACACTGAGGTATGTCGGCCCGTTATGGCCAGTTGTGCATATCGATCACTATATCAAGTGGGCAGCAGCCAGGAGAGATGGCGAAATTGAGAAATTTGAACGCAAATCAATCGAAAGTGAATGGAAATAAAGGCCGATATGAGGAAGTAGCTGAGTTGAGCAATTCTTGCAGATGGCATTTGCTTAAATGCGAGTGGAGTTATAGGATATGAGATGAAAAGCTACACATACTACATATACTATATACTACAAGAGAATATGTTAAATAGGCTCAACATATGGATCTATCCAAAAAAGCTTAATCTATAATGAAATATCCAATGTAAAATATTTACTTTCCAACTCATAGATACCTACTAGGTATTTCCTAGCCTATGATGTCTAATACAACTTAACACAAGATATAGACATAAATATCACTTTGAACTGTCTGCCACCCTAAAAGGTTCAACGCCTGCCATGCCATAACCATCAATCCTTATGCAACTATCTATTTGAGATTAGCAAACAGCGCTAGATGAAATCAAATTGAATAAGCAAATAAAATGCATGGCCAAATGACGATAAGAGCCAAACAAAATACATAAAAAAATCGTATTGGCCCACATGCAAAGAGGCTCAAATTTCGCCGGCAACAGAGCTGTTGACTTGCAGTTCAACAGGGGCCTCGACGTGGACTCCAGGGCTGCCTGACTCACACTCAGCCGCCAATTTCAAGTAGGCCACAGATGGAAATTGAAAATATGCCAGTAAAATAAACAGTTATTGAGTTGACTGTTTGACACTTCCCGCTGCGATAGGCAAAGAATGGCTGCGGCTACGGCTGCGGCTATGGCTAGTTGGCTTGTTGGCTATGGCCGTGGTCAACACCAACGGCACCTGGGCCAACTTTGCGTATTGGCCCACTTGGCGGTCTATTAATTAAATTAAATTTCGATATAAATTCAAATGGGCAAAGCGTGCGCGATTACGAATTCTAATTGGACTACGACTCCACCGTGCCACTGAGCGGCCAATTAGACATTGTGGAACGGGCGCTGGCCCGCCCACAGTGCATGCCCATATATTCATAAGTCATGCTGACCCAACGTGTAATTGTTTGTCGAAAGGTGTGCAAGCTTTAACTTGCCTTTCGCCTTCGCCGTCGCCTTTTGCCTTCCTTATAATGCGCTGGAACCCATTGAGAAAGGGTATAATAGTTTTTATATAATTGGCAAGCGGACAGAATAGTCTTTAGAGTCTTTGAGTTCATCTGTTCATTTCCTCAATTTCAGTAAGATTATTTATATTTTGTTTTCTTCAGCTTAAGTATTGGATAAGTATATGGAGGATAGCTAATACGGAGAAATCCTAAATTGATTTCTAGAATTGTTATTATTATCTTTATTCATTTCTTAATTGATTGGTATTGATAATATTTTCCCACATTCTTCGTTTTACTATGTAATATATCGAATATTAAGAATATTTTCACCCGTTCTTCATATTTATTCTTTGTATTTATTCACCCATACCTGACATCGAAAATAATTGATTAGACTTATGCTTATCTATTTATGAATATCCATAAGGAATACGTCTTTGATATTACTGTTATTACTTGTAGGAATGTCTTGACCCTTTCACTTCATATCGAAGAGAATTAATTATTATCCATTACTCAATATCGATTCGGAATCAATTTTTTCAGAAAATTGTTGACTTAACTTTGGAATAACTCTTAGGAATATACTTAACCGATCCATCAAGTTTGTTATGACATTATTGGACTTAACTTGATAGTATATCGATACTTCTAACCTCTATAAATATGAAGAACAATTTCTTTTAAACTCTGCTCGGTAACTTTACTCAAATAAATAGTTATCTAATAGGAATCTATAATATCTATAATAGGAATCATTTTTTATTATCATGCATCGATAGTGTATTTGCTCATCGGCTACCTGTTTGCTAGCTACTTCCACTCAACGTACATAGTTGTTTTGGGGCGCCATTCTCCTAGCCGGGGCATCAAATTTCATTAATCACGCAAATGCTTATCGCCGGAGCGGCAGCACAGGCAGTTATTCTCTTCTAAGAGGCCAGCCGGGTCCAACAAGTAGTCACAGTCGTGGCCATAATTTGTCTGCCACTCTGGCCCAAAATGGTGTGAAAATGAAAATGCACCAGCATGACCATCAGCAGTTGGAAATCATTCTGGTTCAACATGTCCAGCCGGCCAATGCCTCGCTTCGCCGCGCTCGCATTTGCAGTAGCTGCAGAGTAGAGTGCCGGACTCCTCGCCAGAACTGAGAACTGCCGACTCGTGATTATATTCATACGTTCTGATGGTTCAATTCTGGGCCGGTGCGAAAGGTGTTGGCGGTGCGAGTGGGGCACCAGTGCATTGTGTGAAAATGCTGTAGGCGGCTTACGTGATGAGTATATCTTGCCATTCCAGAGCTGCTTGCCGCTTGCTGCAATAAGCGATAAAAGCGGGACTACGGCCCAAAACTGTGGCAACTGTGTGCCCGGCCTAGACGCCCACATATGTGGCAAGTAGAAAATGGCAAATGGCAAATGGAGACGCCTTCAGCTATGCGGGAAATGTGCCTAAATGTGGTAGGCATAGATAGCTCTTCGTCTATTTAAGATTCAAATCGAGTTTTACAGCAGCTGCTAATGGGAATTATGTGCTGCACTGCCAAGAGACACGAATTCATATTGAATATGTCTTACATTTATTTAAAGGCAAATCAACTAGAGAAACACAACAGAATATTGGCATCATTGAGAAAAAGACATCATTGAAATGATCACCCTCAATGGCTGTACTTCTAGTAGAAGAATCTATTTAATATATAAAGTCTCATCAGTACTCTGAAAACTTCAGTTTTAACTGCACTCAATGAACAAAATGATATCTAGGTGGCAGAATTTAGTAAAGTTTTAGTATATATTGAAAACATTTTTGTTTAATTGATGTAGTAAGGGATTAAATTTCTGTCAGTTTTATTTAGGCTATCGATCAGCTTTGAACTGAAAAAGTTGTTCGAATTGTAATTTCCGTCTTTGGCAAAATTTTTGTGCAACTCACCAAGATGTTCTTGCAACCCCAAAATTGGATTTAAAATGTTTAATTTTATAAAAGTCTATAAAAAAGTGAAGAAAAAGGCCGAATACAATCTTACCTAAGGTGAGCAAGATCAGTGCTACAACAGAATATAGACAGAGGATGGATAATATATGTTCGCTAATGCTCGTTACTTATTGTAGAATGGAGTTTTTCTCATGTGCTACACGTGGTATTTGTAACAAGGGTGATCGTGACTTCACCGCATTGTGGATAATGATAGCTCTGGTTTGCACGGCACTAATCCTTCTTATTGTATTTTTGGTTATATATTTTGAGTAACTGTGGTGTACAATAAATGTGTAAACTTATTTGCCTTTGCCCGCTTTTACTTGGTACAAGGACAATCGTGTTTGCGTTTAAATCTCGCACTTCGACTCGAGCTTAGGGATTCCCGGGCTCACCTTAAGAGTGCGAGAGAGAGAAAGAGCGAGAGAGAGAGAGAGAGAGTTCACTCTGTTAACAGGGCCCTTATCTCATTAAGATATCTGGCTACGGCTCTTATCAGCTACATATTAAAATAAATGCACCCCCGGCAGTCGTAACTTATGTCCTTCAAGACGTCACGTTGGCGCTATCTTCAGGCTGTGTCCTTTTGACTGCTCGCACCGCAAAGAGCAGACGCCAAGCGGTCTTCGGGCCACTTCGAGTCTATTAGCAAGGCAAATTTCGTAACGAGAACAGGAAAGAACTCGAGGGGGAAGGGAGTGGGCAGGCATTTGAAACGAGCCTTCGGTCAGGCCAGAGCTGGCCTGGCTTGGCCTGGCCAGGCGACAACGATGCCCAAAAAGTGTGCAATACAATCTTGAAACTTGAATAACGGAAATAAAAATTATGAGCAGGAATATTTTAACGTTGGCCGTTGCCACATTTGCATAAGAAAACCGTTAAGAGTGCCCCATGGTCCCTGCCCCATGGCCCCTGCCCCGTGCCCCATCATGCCCCATGCCCCTTGCCAAATGCCTAGCACTCAACATTGGCCACAAGATGAAGTCGACTCCCCCTCCGATATTTGTGTTGGGCATGCGCGCAATTACCCCTACCCCACAGCCACGCCCCCAATCCAGTTGGCGCTCACAGTTTATTGTTGTTTGGCGTTGTAATTGATAAGTTAATTTACATTTTTATTGAATGGCCCCCTCCTACCCCTCCTCCCCTCCCTCGCACTGCAGCGACTAGGTGTCGCTGGGCGCCCTGTCACGAAGGTCAGGCCATGCTTTGCATATCATTTCGCAGAAAGCAGACGCCCAAGGCTATCTTTGTTTGTGCTTCCCATTCGTCTGTGTGCATGTGTGTGTGCAAATTAAAACGAAAACATTTGTGGTTTATGTTCCTGCCAAATCGACTGTACACATTGTTCAATTGTGCAAAAAAAAAAAATAATAATAATAATTTTCGTAGAATATTGCAATGGCTAGATAGACTTCATATTGCTTTTCTGTGGTACAAAAAGCATAGCTGGTAAAAAATCAAGGACTTCCCAGGACTCCACTATTTTTTTTACAATAGCTTAGAAGTGACGATACTGCAACATTTTTTGCTGATAACTAATAAAATTCTAGCAGTTTTTGCTTTTATATGCATGTAGAGAATGATCAAATAAGACCAATAAGTAGATCGTGAAATTTTCATTAAAAAATCAGTTTGAGATATTACGTTATTTCTGAAATTAGTTTGAAAGTATATGTATACCAATATGTATGAAATACAATGTCATTCCAAAGGACATATCAAAGTCCTTGAATATGTGCGGTGTAATTCCGACAAAATAATATGCAGCGTGACTTCTTCAACACTGGTTGCTATGGTCAATAATTGCTTGACTTCAACACATTCTTCACTGGAAGATGAATGAATTCAAAGAAAAGTATGCATGATTTATCAACTGTGTGGTGTTACTGACAGCCTAGGGTATCGTATCTCTCCTTACTGATGTTCGTGCAAAGAGCGTAACACGAATATGTAAGTTCAAGGCGTTCAACAGAAAAGCAAAACGAAAAGAACCGAAGGCTCGTGCTTGGAGAGCGAGAGTGAATGCGAGTGCATATAAGCTGAATTGGTTGACTTCGCGAACAGAGCGTAGAGAATAAAACGGTTAATTGTCATTGAGAATATATGAAATTAAAACTTGACTCATAGAGTAAAGCACTGGATACAAAGGCCTTCGCCTTTTTCGGTAGGTCTCTGGGTCTCTTCTTCGGTCCCTCTGGGTCTGTCAGCAATAAAATTTATTTGTGGATCGAGAAACGATCAATAAATATTTGTGATCTATGTCTAAGAGTTATCGATATCTTCTATATATCGCGCTAATATATGTATGTATGTAATAGAATATATGTATAAAACAGCTAAAGCTTTTGGAAATAGTTTCTAAATTACTGAGATATAAATATGCGAGAAGAAGAGAGAATGGCAAGAGTAATTTTCAAAAAAATTTTAACATTACTCAAAAACTTTACTGTTCACGAGTAGGCAATGAATAAACTGTGAGTAAATTAACTAAAATAAATAAAATAATTAATAATAATAATAAGTATAATTATAATAATCATAAATAAATAAAAAACAAATTGTAAAACTTTCAAATGGTCACTAAAAAGCATGGATAAACGGGATCCGTTTTTTAATAAAAGCTTTCAGTCTAATAGAGCTTTGAGCTGAAGCTCTTCAGCCTTAAGATTTTCATGCATTCATCCAACATGGACTCAAGTATATCTGATCAAAGTGTAAGTATTTAGTTTTATGCATAGTTTTTATTGAATTGAGTTAAAACATTTTCAAAATTTCAAATATATTTATATATTGGCTGACGAAATGTCCGAGATGGCGCGCGTCGAGGGTGGTGAATGGAACAGGAGTCCATCGGAGCGTCGTGGAATTTCGAAATTCAGTTGCGACCCATCGAAAATCATATTTCTGGTGTTGACAGTGTTGGCCATAGTCATAACTATTATAGGCTATTTTCAATTGAAGAAAAAGAAATGAGCAGCGCCCGAGGAGCTCAGTACTGTTATTTGAAATGCGTATTTTGTTTACTTCGATTTGGTATCAGTTTTATTCCCTTGAGTGTGTCCACGGCGCAGCCGTGCATGAAAAGTTAACGAGAATTGATGTTGCATGTTTCGCCGGACACAACAAAGCATAAATTTCTCAGTTACCAGTTGGCAGTAGCATGCAGCATGCGGCATGCAGCATACAGCATGCAGCATGTACCATGTCGCTGCGGTTCGGACTCTGGCGATAGGTGGAGGCAACTGTAGCCAAGTGGTGCTGGCTCGGCAGCTCTGCTCTGCACCAACAGCATCTCCAATGCATCCACCATGCTGGGCAACAGCGAACGCGACGTTGCATAAATTTTCAGCCAGCGAATTTCAATTTGCGTAACGCATTCCGAATGGCAAATGCGATTGCGATGCCAATGCCAATGCGAATGCGAATGTGAATGTAAATGAGAATATGGCAATCTGACTGCCGAATTTTACTTTACTCTCTGCGTTATTTGTTTCTTTCTTTCTCCGCGGGGGGGATGGAGAGGGCTTCACTTGACGCGATTGCCCGATATGCAAACTGGCGCAGCTCCATTCTGCAACCCAATCGAAGCAATCAGCGCCTAATCTAGCAGCCGCATGTGAAGCCAATGTTGTTGTTGCTGTTACTCTGTTGTTGTTGTTGTTGTTGCATGCAAATCATCTCGTTGACTTGCGGTCACAGTGGGTGGCAGCCGAGCCTCAATCTGACGTCACATGTCGGCTCCATGTCTCGTCTGTTTACAGTTGATGAATTGCTATTTTTGGGCCAGCAAAGAAAAAGATCCAGTTCCCAGTTGATTGAAGGCTAAAACAGGTGGATGGAGGAGTGTGTCTTCTGGACTTGTATAGTTTGTATAATCCAAAGGTGGCGGATAAGGGTGCATGTCATTGTGTTGGTTTTTTAATGTGAGTAGCAGAGCTTTACATATGCGAAGTAGAGCAACGCTTCTTGAATACTACATATGTAGCTCATATACCCTGTAGGTAGCAAGATAGTGTATTAGAGGTCAACATGTTATTTCTGAATTTATGAACTACCGTACTCTCTGCCTTGGTACAACAAAACTATTGCTCATCAGCTTCTCTGCCAGGCCGCATGAATAAATATGCGAGTCCCTGATTCAATATAATGAATATATACATATTATGTATGGAATATTTATTAAATTAACATACATATATATTAAGGTCGAGGCGTTCAATTAAATAAAATCAATAGTCAGATCGGGTATTCTTTAGTCGAACACTGCCCATACCTATTTAATATATTCAAACTACATACTTTATTTCTTCAAATATTTTATACTCCTCTTGGCACAAAGCCTATATTGATAGACTTCATTCAGTCATTGAATCGATAAGACTAAAGTGGGATTTTTTTATTCGATTCAAATCAATTGCGTTTATATTCTAAATAAGGGGATTACCAAATAATTATAATAAAATAAAAAATAAAAAAATAAATAAAAAAAATAAAACAAGCTATAAATGCGCATATACAATAAAACACTTCGACCACTCCATGGCTAGGGTATTTTCGAGTCAATCATTAGCCATAGTGATTCAATATAAATATTTCATGTATAATTCAATTCGAATCTCTGCCAACCTCTGATATTGTTTATAAAACAAACTAGTCGAGCTCTACTCAATAAATACTGAAATAAATCATATATAATTCAATTGGAATCTTTGCAAATATCTTATATTCTCTGTGAAACAAAGCCAATATTGGCAGCATTCATTCATTCATTCATGCATTCGTTGATTCACTCACTCATTCGCTTATTTGGCCATCACGAATGCAATTAAATTGTTATTTAATATTTAACCTAACGGCATTTTCAATTATCCTGCACCTGTTTACACTGACAATCAAAATAAATACACAAATTCGCAACAAAACCGAAATCAAAATGGATTTGCGTAACGCGCCCGGCACAAAATTCATTTGAAAATATTTTCCAATTAAATAAAACATTTTTGCTTCTATCAGTTGAATGCCCTAGCCAGAGTCAGAGTCAGAGTCAGAGCCGGAGCCAGAGTCAGGCCAGGCATGCGCGACGTCGACGTCGACGTCAGCGTCGCTGCTGGCGCTTTCTATTATTAGCTGCCTGCACGGCGTCTGTCAGAGATTTGCCTCCGTCGAACGCTTATTGGCTCCACTTCCTGTGCTCCGGGGGAAACGGTTATTGAAATTGTTTCGAACACTTGATGCCTTCGAGGCGTGGCCGCTGGCAGATATTGTATATATATATGTATATGAATGTGTATATATATTG